AGTCAGCAACAGCGCTGGGATCGTCCGGCGTGAAGCAAACCCGCCCCCATGGGTAGGATGCAAAGAAAGACCGCATTCCGTCCCAATCCGCTGACCTGTAATGCGAAACACGGCGGCAACCTGCAGAACGCAACCGCGAAGGGAGCTTGAGTGGCAACACACTCCGGATCAGACAATGGTCCGAAGAGCCGAGAGGGGCATCGACGGAAACCTGATATCCGTCCGGATGAGAGGTCAGCAGAAGGTCCAACAGGGAAGGTGTATGATCCTCCACATCTGGAATCCGCGTAGGCGAAGTAACCAGTTGTGTCAGACCATATGCCAAGGCAAAGTCATAAACAGATCTCCCCGCATGATCGGTTAGACGTGAACCGAGCCATTTGGCATGGTGGGCGTTAAAATCGCCAAGGATCACGATCTCTGCGGATGGGACCTGTTGTAGCAAGGAATCTGTAGCCATTTGGACGTGGTCGATGAGTCGGTCTGTTTCGGCATTACCGCTATGGGACCTATAGAGGCACCCGTAGACGCGCGGATGGTCGTCGCTGTCTACGCGTAACCAAAGGATGGACAGGTCCGAATCTTCAAGACTGCCGAGGCGTCGAGAACAGATGTCCTCTCTGACATACACGCAAACTCCAGCCCGAGGCACAAAGGAATGCTCCAATTTGTACCCTGGGTAGGAGAGATACGAAATATCAGCCGGAGAGGAAACCTGCGTCTCGGTCAGAAAGAGCAAGGCCGGCTTCGCCGTCTCGAGATGGTAGTGGACGGCGTTTAGGTTAGAGTGAAGTCCCCTGATGTTGCAGAAATTCACGGATAGCGTGGCAGGGGTCGCCTTGGTGTTCTTGCTCAGTTTGCCCCTAGCAGTTATGCTTTTGAGCGGAATTTTGCCCCCCCCCCCCAGAATACGCGGGGCAGCCTGAGCACCCACGCTCAGGATCGGAATAATATGGTCGTGGATGCTCAGCGAGGGATTCTCCAGGGGTACTGGTACCCTCCTGGGGTATTTCATCGTGTAATTCCGCTACCATGTTGATGGGGGGGGGGGGGAATTGGGCCTCCGGCCACCTCCACTCACCAGACGAAACGCAGAAGCAGAGCTTCTACTTCACGCCGGTATTCTGTGAGGTCGTGGTACCAACCCGGCTCGAGCCGGCCCATACATGCAACAGCAAAAACTGCTGCGTGGCTCTACCACCGTTAATTAATAACACTAAAAGCAAAACAATTTCTTGATTAATAATTAATATTCTAATCTAAAATCATTGGTGTACTGAATCTTACAAAAAACCTTACCAATTTCAAGTATTTGCGCAAAGTAGTCAGCCTTTCGGTATTCTACAAAAACACTTATTATCAGATGGGATATTGGTCAAGCACCGGCTTATAATAAATAAAAAATTCCATAAAATCAGAAAATGCATCTTTCTACGATATGTACTATGATATCGATTCATTTTTCTCTGGGGTTGCAGACGCTCGAGGTGAGGCCTCGAATGCCTAGTTAAGTAACCTCCAAAGAAAACGATGACTCGGAAGTGGTCTCGAGCCGTTGTGGTAGCACTGGGAGGATGCTGGTGGCAGCAAGTACTGTCCCAGGACATTGTAATAGTGTAGCAAAACGATGGAAGGGCCCCGGTTGCGTTCCGAACGGAGATCCCGGGACTCCTCGTATACGCTGATGGTGACCACTGTAGGGTTTTAGCCGGTAGAAGTCCGGAATAACCTTCTCGTTGACCCAGCCGTGAAAAGTATCCATGGGAATTTCCCCACAAAAGAAAAAGCATTTCCCAGTGTAAAAAGCTTATATCAAATTGCGCAACAGTTACGTAGCAATATTCATAATGACCAGACAATGTGATAAATAATGAAGGTTAAATTAGTATTATTTTTTTTTAATTAAGTAGCCTGCTTCAACTTGTCATTATTCATATTGCCCAGGCATTATAAATAGTGCCTTGATTAATAACAGATATACGAGGGTGGATTGAAAAGTACTCGGCCTAACCAAGAAAATAAACAAATACTAAATCAGTTATATTTTTATTTTTCTACATAATCACCATCAAGTTCAATACACTTTTGCCACCTCCCCTTCCAAGCATTTAGACCGTTGAAAAAAAATGATTCTTCCTTAGAGTCAAAATATGCGTCTACAGCTGCTTTGACCTCGTCGTTTGTCGAAAATCTTTGACCTCCCAAGTGCTTTTTTAGGTTAGGGAACAGAAAGAAGTCTGATGGTGCCAGATCAGGTGTATACGGCGGATGCGGTAACAGTTCAAAGCCACAGTTGTGAATTTCAGCCATTGACTGTACTGACGTGTGAACACGGGCGTTATCTTGATGAAACAGGACTTTTCTTCTGAGCATTCCTCGACGTTTTTCTATTATTTCCTCTCGTAAACGACGTAGTAAGGTGCAGTAGTAATCAGAGTTTATATTCTGACCCCTTTCAAGATAATCAATCATAATCACATCTTTCGAGTCCCAGAATACTGAAGCCATCACCTTATTTGCCGACAAAATCGACTTAGCCTTTTTAGGGGGTGGTGAACCAGGTCTTCTCCACTGTTTTGATTGTTGTTTTGTTTCCGGTGTACAGTAATGAACCCATGTTTCGTCCATAGTAACAAAACGATTCAAAAAATCATCTGCATCGGCTTCAAATAACTCCAAACAGTCGCGTGAAATAGTCAATCGCGTCCTTTTTTGTTCAACTGAAAGCAGTCGCGGAACCCACCTCGCAGACACCTTGTGGAAACCCAACTCGTTGACAATGATGTTTTGAGTTCGTTCATAAGAGATGCCTATAATCTCGGCTATCTCTCTAATTTTTAATCTGCGGTCTCCCATTATTAAATCAAGTACTTTTTTAATATTTTCGTCAGTAGTTGACGTCGAAGGCCTTCCAGAGCGGGGTTCATCTTTCACACTCTCTCTACCACGCTTAAATTCTGCTATCCATTTTTTGACGGATGAATATGACAGAGCACAATCGCCTAATGTACTGACCATGTCATCATGGATGGCTTTTGATGATAGCCCCTTCTTATGGAGGTACTTAATGACGGCACGCTGCTCGATTTGCTCCATTCGCGGAAATTATGTCAGATTACTTTGTTAATAAATTTATAAAATCACAACTAATTATCGCACACGTTTCGAACTTCACACAATGAACTAGTCTGAACTGAACTAAATAATGTGGTTAGATTTGATTTTTAGAATTGAATGGATCTGTGTTAGGCCGAGTACTTTTCAATCCACCCTCGTATTATTTACAAGGTATGCGATGATCGGATTGGGATTAGTAGGCGATGTGTTACTAAAATTATCATTCCGTTTTTCCTAAATATTTACAAATACGATCATCTAACTGCGGTATAATCTGTTCAAAAATTGTCCGGCCTTGCTTTAAATAGCCAGGCCGATAAAAAAGAACAGTGCCTAAAATGCGGTGAGTGGAGCTAGCTCCATTTATTACGATTTTCGATCGATGATATGCTTGTGAAATGTAGCGATTGTAGCGAATTCTTGAATATTAAAGTCTGTGTCAGGAAGTGGACTAATTGCATTAATCAAGTAAAAGTTTACTTCATGAATATGCTTCATCCAAATCTATCTGTATAATTAATTAATAATAATTAAGCCTATACATATATAACAATAATCTATTCATATAAATAAAATTGAAGTGTCTGTCTGTAATATCGAAATAAGTGCCTTCTATTAAGCCCTGCGATTATTAGCATTTTACTAAGATCTGAAAACTTTAAGAACATATAGAGAACATTTCCAGGAGTGCTAAGGCTATATTTATCCGTAATTATTGATAAAATTAATGATTTTTTTTAAATATCAGAATGGCGCCATATTAACAGATCCCACCCAGGTTTTTTATAGGATAGGGTGACAAACGAGCACACAGTCCGCCTGATGATAAGTGGTTGCCGTGACGCATAGACATCAACATTTATACTTAATAAAGAATCAAAATGCAGATGCGTCGTCACCCGTGAGGACTAAGATGGAATGCCTCTTTTCCAGTAAAATGGGTCTCCGGTTCTCTACAGAACCGGAGACCCATTTTACTCACCATACGAAACACAGCAGTGTCAAGCTGCCATTTTACGCTGGTATTCTGTGAGAGCGTGATTCTTCCCCGGTCGAGCCGACCCATTCGTGCTACAACTATACTACTAATATACATAGCTGCAGCATGGCTCTACCACGTACAAAGGCTGAAAAAGCTGAAGTGAAGCTGGAGCGGATCGCTAGTATAAAATATAAATAATATTATATAAATATAATAATTATTAGCTAAATAACAAATACACAGACCTCTCTATAAATTCAATATTATTTATTTTGTCAAAAACTATTTTTAATAACTCTGTGATCAAATAGTTATATCAACTTTAGACTTTCTTTCAATAAATTAATCCTTTAATTATTAGAAATTATTCTCAATATTATTTAAATAAAATAATATTATTACTCGGTAGGAAACTTCCTTTACATTTACCAAAAGTATTAAACCAAAGGACATAACAACGACGGTAATACTCGTAGAATTACCGACTGATCCCTATGTATTATCTATGGATCCCTCTCACCGCGTGATACTTTATACTGCTAGAACGAGTGGAAGATTACAGTTCTACCTTCATTTCTTCGTATTTTCTTTTATTGTTCTACCCTCATCTATAACAATATTATACGAATATAAGTCTAAACTACCAGATGTGGTTGTGGATGTGGCACAAGTAGATGGTTAAGAATGAAAAAATGGACCATAACAGAAACTTTATATTTATTTGTATAGTTTTCGTTATTTAACAGATATATCAGGAGAATTTCTTCAAAAGTGCTTTACAATCGATCAGGTGTTGCAAGAAAAATGTGTATAATGAAGTGACTTCGGTTTTAATTTTTAAACTTTGCTTAGTGAATATTTATCATTATAATATCATGCTTATTTTACTCCTGTCGCTATACTATGTATTGGTTAGAACTGGAAAATATAATAACTGCGCGAGGTTATTCCTGGCATAACGACCACGCAGCTGCGGTGCTCCGTGTCCCGGCCGGCCCCATAGAGATGACCATGTAGCGTGATGTCTTCTTTCACTCTCGGCTGAAGCTAGTCGCTTCTCCTACCAAAAGAAAATATTTTTATCAAAGAGATTTTATTAGTATTGTATTCGTATGTTTGATGTTACTAATGACTAATGATCTTTAAAAACTGTATTCTTTAGTCAAATCCGGATATTTTACCTTAAATTTCTAGAATATTTACTCAAAAAAGAGATATTTGTTATAATAACCATACATTGTCCATTGTATTACTTTCCATAGAATTAATATCCTACACACACACACACCACACACACACACACACACACACACACACACACACACACACACACACTTAAGAAGCCATAAAGTGATAGCGTAAGAGAATCCACTAGCCCATAAGGCGTAAGAGTCGACAGGGGTAAACAGAACATTCAAAGCAGCATGTTCCTGATATAATTAAACCAGCGGCTGCCAACCTGCCTGTTAAGAGTTGCAACTATGTTGCTATATATGTATATATCCCCTTTTATAAGGCAATGTATGGCGGAGGCATATGCTCAGCAGTGGACTGTAATGGGTTATAATGATGTTGATGATTATTATTAAAGATGCTGTCTTTTAATGACATATCAAATATCAGACCTTTGGGGTAATTTCATCATGTTTTTAAAATAATAAATATTTGCAGCTTAATTTTAAAAACTCTTTTCCTATTTTCACTAAGTGTTCGAAGAAATCTTCCCCTAATCAAGCACCATTTTATTTTTGTCCAGATACCAATTGAATCTGGTATCTGGTCAAAAATAAATCTTTGCATATTACGTCAATAATTAGCACACCTTAGAAAAGTAGGTCTCACATCTCAAACCATCTTAACCACATTAATAAATACATTTATATTTGCTAATGCTAAGAGAACAAATAAACCATGTCTGATATAAATAAATAAAAATCCTTTCTTTTAGAATATTGTAAGAGATAATTGAACTTTTTTTCTAACCTCTTTCTGCTCACATTTCACCCGCATTTGATGTTTTAACTGTCTCAAATAATCCACGTCAAGCAATTCGCGCCATCTAGAGACAAATTTAAATTTAAATCGTTACCTATTTTTAAAAACTATTTCCGCTAAACTATAAAGTTCTTTCAAAACATCGTATAAATTGTCGCTTATTTGTTGCTGACTTCTGGTGAGGCTACACCTGAGATGAGTATTCGGAATATTGATGATAGATTTTTCAAATCGGTTCAGGCGTGTTTGAGTAATTTAGTAATTTTGAAGTTTTATGTAAAGAAACCGTAACTGCATCTCATTTCGTAGCTGTCGTAAGACGAAACTTAGGGAAGGTGCAAAAGATCTTGTAGTCTTTCATAAAAGGCGATAAGACGCAGCCTCAAAAATGCAACACGGCTAGTACCAATGCCAATCCGCCTGCCAAGCCTGGCAATTACCATCAATTCTCTCTTTTATTAGGAAAGGGTTAAATTCAGTAACAGACTTTTTTGTAAAACTAAAGTGTCAAACGAACATATAGTCCTCGTCACGGTAAGTGGCTATTGCAGTCTATAGACATCATCATCATCATCATCATTACAGCCCTTCACAAGTCCACTGCTGAACATAGGCCTCCCCCAAAGAATGCCACAAAACACGGTCCTGAGCCACCTGCATCCATCGACTTCCTGCATGTCTTACCAGGTCGTCACTCCATCTCGTGGGGGGACGCCCTACACTTCGCCTACCGGTACGAGGGTGCCACTCGAGAACCTTTCTTCCCCATCGGTTGTCGGTTCTTCGAGCTATATGGCCGGCCCACTGCCACTCGAAGTTGTTGACGAGTATGTTTACCTGGGACAAATAGTCCGACTGGGTAAGTCCAACTTCGACCGAGAGAGAGGTCTATAGACACCTGCAGCTTATTATTCACATTCCACCTGTAGTCCACCTGATGGTGAGTGTATGTTGTGGCCCATACATATCTAAATTTATTTACAATTTTTATTTACAATTAAGAATAAAAATGCAAATGCGTTGTCACCCCTAAGGCCTCGTTTCCAGTAAAAAGAATATCCGATTTTCTACACTCACCACACAAAACACAGCAGCATAAAGCTGCTATTTTACGCCGCTATTCTTTAAGAGACCTACACTGGTCCTACACCAGTCGAGCCGTGGACCAGGATCGTGTTTTGTGGCATTCCTTCGGTAAGGTCTTTGCTAAGGAATGGACTTCTGTAGGTATGTGATAATGATAAGAAGGGCGATACAATAATATTTGTATAAAATATTTACTCTTACCAAACAGCGCTTAATACTATTAAACTGGCTATTCTAAATCGTCGATTATATAAGATTGAAGTATCTTACACAATAACATTACCGTTCCAAACATAAAACAAATTTCTTATCCATATCGAAAATCCCAAAGGGCTTTTAAACATAGGTCGGCCATCAAGAAGCTGTGTATGACGCAATATTATTTCACTGACAATGACTTTTATCGGACATACTTGGACTGCGGGATTGTTCTAACGCACACACAAAATTTTCAAAACTTGTTTACATACACATGTAAGCATTTGCAAGAATACGATATTAGTATTGTTCACATTAAGTAAATAACGAATCATTATTGACGACCACACAAAAGAGTGATTTATTTTAAAGTCAAACCAATATGCAACTGACTGACATTCTTTATTATATCATACTAATATTTCTATTCATATGTTACAATGGGTTCATTTAGCGTGAACTATAAGTGTAGAATGAAGTAATTTTACAGTCTTTGTTTAAGTATTTCGTTTTATTGTGAAATAGACAGAGATAGCACACTCATATTAATAATTAATAATTGGACATTTTAACCTAACAAAGATCCTCAGAGCAAGTACAAGCATAAATATGTATATTATTACTCTTAGAAAAGATCCGACCCACAAAAAGAAGCTTTTGAGAGAATATGACGTTTCACGCTTAAATTGCTTTAGATTGATAGTCACTGATAATGGGATATTAGCTTTGTCCAAGATATTGGCCCTCTTATCGATTTTGTTAAGACGAATAAAAGTGAAGTACTAGCCAGAAATTAAATTTTAATGCTTTCGGGCTTTGTGTCGTCAAATTATCGGGATCTGATGTATATTTTACGACCAACAATTTAGCAAATTTAGGTTTTTATTAAAAAATATATTATATCTTATCACTTTAATAATTATCGTGAAATATAAAAGTAGTGGCCAAAAAAATAAAAATAATGCATAATTATTTTTATTTTTTAATATCAAACATGAAATGTTTATTGATATTGTTTTTGAAACATTAGGACATTCACTATGATCGTAACCATAAAATTAATATCTTAGAGATGTCGCCTGAGGATAACACTATTAACACAATGTTACAAAACATTATTAGAAATTTAATAACGAACGCCTTTGGCTTTTAATTTATAAGAACAACAGATAATTTCAATTTGCTAATTTTAGTGGTGGCTCTAAACTTGACTAGTTTTTCTATTTCAGTTTAAATTTATTTTACCGGTTCTCAAGATCAATAAAAGTATTTCAATTGACATGAGTGTTCACTACTTTTAAACTACTACGACAGGGGCTAATGTTTGAAAAAATTTCACAGCAAATTTAAGAGCATACCAAGAAAAATCAAACACGAAAACCTCGTGATTAAAAACCATTATTCTTTAAATAATAACGCATATTTGCAATAAAGCGTAATGTTACGTAAGTAAAGAAATTTTTCGCAATTTCACACAGTGCTTTGACAAAAGAGCGCCTTTTGTGACTTTGTTAGCCTTTAGTGTGATTACCAATATGTTTAATACGTACTGGCAAGACTGTTCTGGAGGTCGTGTGACATCACTAGAATGTAAAGTGCGCGCGCCAGTACGTCTGCGTCGAGCTAAAAGAGGTACAAGCTCTATGCCTCCTGTCAATCTGAGTATTGTACCCTCCGGGGTTAGTTTCGTTTCTATTGTATTATTAGAACTCGTCGTGATAGCTTGATCGTCCATGTTAAGTTTCGTTAGTTGCTCTCCATTACACAATCGTTTAACAGACTGAGTTTTTCTGGGACTCTTTTTGGATTTGCCGTTTTTCATGTTGGTGTCATTTGATTCCCTTAAGACATCATCACTTCCAGATATTTTCCCTTTGTCTCTACAACTAATATTTGGATTTATTTGTTTCGTAATTTCGGGCAACTTTTCAACACTTGATGATTTAGTATTTTCTTTATTAACTAAATTGTGATCTTTCAAATCATCATCTCTCTTTACTTTTGGTAAAGTAAGCGAAGATCTCTTGTAGTTACAGTGTTCCCCTTTCAGTTTATTGAAAATTTCATTATTTGTCCATCCCTAAAACCAACTCTAAAACTTTAATATTAAAATATTAGAAACAATCAAACGCCAAAAATACGCCAAAAAGTGCACTAACATACCATAGACTTAGAGAAATTTAATCCTATACTTCGGGGATTTCTCCAAATTGCACCTCCGGGTCCAGGTTTGCCCCAAGGGCCGTCCATAGTGTGCTAAAATAAATTGAAAATGTAAATCCGTAATGGAAGTGAAATAATCTGTCAAAGTCTAATTACCATTTTACGCTCATACTCCAAATTGTGTTTCATTTCGTCTCTAATAGCTTTGTTCTTTTTAACAACCATATCATCTGAAAATATTAGACTTCTCGATTAAAAAGTCCCTAAATATAATTTCTGATATGTCACCTTCGTTGTGCTATTATGCAACGAGTAATTGAGATATTCTTCTATTTTCTAAAATGTCTAGCAACAATAGCTGAGATACATATAATACATGTAGACTTTTAAGTAGAAGCGAAAGAATCTGCTTAAAACTTACAACGCTCAAAACGTGTTTAAGCTAAGCAAGCTTTTAGCTAAAACACCTTGTCTTTTCTGGCGCTTAAATTATGAATAAAATATTTTTACACACACTTTGATAATTCTGAGCATTGAAAAAAGCGTTTTATTTTGAATTATGGCATGTTGTGGCGACGTGAGTTGCTTGCAATATAACATTATTGTGAAATTTGTATTTTCAACTTGACGGACCCACAGGTGGCGTTATTCCCATGTACTTAAAATTAAATGTTCGTGAACTATAAATTAATCGTATAAATAACACAAAAAGTGCTTTTATTGTTACATACACACAAGTTACTCTGCTTAATTAAATGCTTATTGTTTAAGCGTCTACCCCTACTTCATAAACCTGTAAAAGTCTACTGCTCGAGATAGGCCTTTGCCTTTGTAGAGAAGATTAGACTAGAATCTCTTACTCCGACTACACACGAAAACCCCATCTCATTTCCATCGAGTTAGATTCCAAAACTGATGGCAAAAATTCGGGCTTATTAAATCTTCCATATCATTGATTACATCATAATTTGAAGCTGGAAGACCTAGTTTAAATTCCACTTAAAACTGAGAGAAGGCCTGCATTCCAAAGTGAAATATTCATAGGTTTTCATCACTTTTTTATATGTTGTACACTAAATAAGGGTACCTAAAATATCCTTATATATTTTCTGCTGATCTTTAATCTGTTTGTATCTTATGTCGTTATCAACGGCACGTCGTAACTGTTCTGCAAAGATCAATTGAGGATCTTCACGTAGTCGTAATAGCTTGCGCGTCTGACGTCTTTTCGGTGTCGACCAGTGATGCCATACTTCATGCGTTGATATACCCTGAAATTATAAAGTTACTCTTGCATATATAAGGCCAAAGCAAAAAAGTATTTAATGAAAAAATATGCTTTACGATTGTCTAAGAAATGCCTTATTTAAATGAAACAATGCGTGGTAGCTCAGGGCCTGAGCTACCATGCATTGTGCCTGCCTGACACCAACCCAAAGAGGGTTGGTGTCAGGCAGGCGGCCGACTGTAAAACTTTTGCCAAATCCCATGCAGTAAATGAATAGTACGAGTTGTGGGACATATGACAGGGCTAGGGCGTACCCCGCAGGCGACGTGCAGGGGCAGCACCCGGCTCCTGTGGGAAGTGGGCAAGGGTTGTCGCACCTTACGGAGCGGGTGCGACGTAAGAGGCGAGCCCGGAGAGAGAAGAATGTCAGAGTGAGGTTTGCAAGCTGGAATATAGGTACGATGACTGGAAGAGGAAGAGAGTTAGCAGATGTTTTGAAACGACGAAGAGTGAATGTTGCCTGTTTGCAGGAAACAAAATGGAAGGGCAATAAAGCAAGAGAGATTGGGGAGGGATACAAGTTTTATTATTGTGGAAGTGATGGGAAGCGAAATGGAGTAGGAGTAGTGTTAGATAGTGGAATGAAAGAACGAGTGACAGATGTGAAAAGAGTAAATGACAGAATGATAGTTGTTAAATTAATGATTGAAAACAAAGTAGTGAATGTTGTAAGTGTGTATGCTCCGCAAACAGGCTGTGAAGAGAGTGTGAAAGAGAAGTTTTGGGAGGAATTTGATTGTATGATGATGGGAATACCTGAGCGTGAGGATGTTTATATGGGAGGAGATTTTAATGGACATGTAGGGAGAGTGAATGACGGGTATGAAAGAGTACACGGTGGATAGGGGTACGGAGTGCGGAACCGTGAGGGGGAAGTTCTTCTGCAAGCAGCATGTGCTTTCGACCTGGCTGTAGTAAACACGTGGTTCCAAAAACGAGATCAGCATCTTGTTACTTATAAAAGTGGCCACCACGCGACACAGATCGACTATCTTCTGATAAGACGGAACCAAATCAAGAGTGTAAAAAACTGCAAAGTGCTTCCAGGTGAAGACTTAGTATCCCAGCACCGAATTCTGCTGGCTGACATCTGCTTAACTGTTCGCCTCAACAAACATAAGGATCGTCCCCCACCCAAAATAAAGTGGCATTTGTTGCATAAGGAGGGGTATGCAAGTGAATTTAGAGAGCTAGTTGTAAACAAGATGATAGAGATGGGTGATATGGAAGGAATGAGTGTGAATGAGTGCTGGAAGGAAATGGCTGATTGTATCCGAAGTGTGGCAAGGAAGGTGTTAGGAGAAACAAAAGGGAAGCGTATGATAGATAAGGATGGGTGGTGGTGGAGTGAAAGTATTAGAGAAGTTTTGAGAGAAAAGAAAAATGCCTTTAAAGAATGGCAGAGCGTAGAAGACCAGAATGAATCCATAAAAGAAAGTAAGAGAGGGGCGTATAAAGAATGTAAGAAGAGAGCGAAGAAGGAAGTTGCTATTTGTAGGGCAGAGGCGCACGATAAATTATATCGGTCCCTTGAAAGCCCTGAAGGTCAAAAACGACTTTTTCAAATTGCAAGAGCGAGAGAAAGGAATGGAAGAGATGTTTCACATGTAAAATGTATAAAAGATGATTCTGGAAGGATTCTGACTGACGATGAAAGTATAAAGAAGCGATGGAAGGAGTATTTTGAGAAATTGATGAATGAGGAGAATGAATGGAATGGTATGCTTGAAAACCCACCAGTGAATATGGGCTTAGTGAGAGAAATTAGTGTGGAAGAAGTAAAAATGGCTGTTAGGAATATGAAGAATGGGAAGGCGGTCGGCCCAGATGGAATACCAGTAGAAGTGTGGAAGTTGCTGAGGGCGGATGGATGGAAATGGTTGAGTTTATTTTTCGGTAAATTGTTGCAGGAAGAACAAATACCTGAGGAATGGTGCAGTAGTATACTGGTTCCCATTTTTAAAAACAAAGGAGAAGTTCAAAACTGCAGCAGTTACCGGGGAATAAAGCTCATGTCACATACGATGAAAGTCTGGGAAAGAATAATAGAGAGAAGAATGAGAGAAGAGTGTGAGATAACACAAAACCAGTTCGGATTCATGCCCGGTCGAGGTACGACAGATGCCATTTTCGCATTACGCCAATTGTGCGAAAAGTACAAGCGCGTGCATAAAGATCTGCACATGGTTTTTGTCGACCTTGAAAAGGCGTACGATCGGGTTCCCCGTGAGGTCTTGTGGTGGGCGTTAAAGATGAAAGGTATGCCTGGGAAGTATGTGAGGTTGGTCCGTGCTATGTACAGAGCATCCCGTACATGTGTACGATCTGCCGCGGGAACTACGGGCAGTATCGATGTGGCGGTAGGGCTGCACCAAGGGTCGGCACTGAGCCCTTATCTCTTCCTACTGATTATGGACGCTTTGACGTCGGACCTGCAGGATGAGGCACCCTGGTGCATGCTCTTTGCCGATGACATCGTGCTTGTCGGGGAAGAAGGCATCGAGGTACAGAGCAGACTGACGGGGTGGCAACGGAGGCTGGAAAGTGTTGGCCTGAAGATCAGCAGATCCAAAACCGAATATCTGTGCTGTGATTTCGGTGGTCTTTCCAGTCCTGTACCCATGTCGTTGGATGGCGCTATACTGCCTATCTGCTCAGATGTCAAGTACCTCGGTTCCCTCATTCAAGGCGACGGCGGAATAGATAGAGCTGTGCAGCATAGGATTAACGTAGGGTGGATGAAATGGCGACAGGTCACAGCCACAACGTGCGATCCCCGAATGCCAATAAGGCTGAAGGGGAAAATTTACAAATCGATCATCCGACCTGTCGTCATGTATGGAAGTGAATGCTGGGCCGTCAAGAAGAAGGATGAAAATAGACTGCATGCGAATGAAATGAGAATGTTACGATGGATGTGTGGTGTGACAAGGATGGATAAGATAAGGAATGAGTATATAAGAGGAAGCCTGAAAGTAGCGCCAGTGGTAGAAAAGGTGAGAGGAAGCAGATTGGCATGGTTTGGGCATGTGATGCGGAGGAATGAAAGTCATGTCACAAAACGAGTGTTGAATATGAATGTGGAGGGACACACGGGCAGAGGAAGGCCGAATAAAAGATGGATCGATTGTGTGAAGAGTGATATGAGAATGAAAGGAGTAAGTATGGAAATGACGGCTGATAGAGAGGAATGGAACAAAAAGATTTACTGCGCCGACCCCAGATAATGGGAAATGGTTTAGAGAATGATGATGATGACGAGTATAACCTAGATGTTTTTATTCATTTCTCTCATCTATTAATCTGTATATAAAAATCATATAATATATTATAATTTAAAATCAACAACTCTTCAGTTCCGTTCAGTCCGTTGGCACTACTCCGGAGGCGTGGAGCAGGAGTGCGGTGGTCTTCTTCTTCAAGAAAAGCGACAACGTTTTATTAAAAACTACAAACTGACGTCGATCGACGGTTACAACTCGACAGGGCAGCGTTTGAGAGATTACGACACATCTCGTCACTTATACATCAAAACTTGACAACTTGTGCAACCAGCGGGCGTTTCCAGTGATGACATATGGATCTGAGACGTGGTCCTTCACTGTTGGCTGTATTTGGACACTCAAGGTTGCTCAGTGAGCTACGGAGAGAGCTAAGCTTGGAGTTTATTTGTGTGATAGACTCAGTAATGAGCCCAACGGATCAATAAGCTGGTCTGCTAACGGGCCGGCCATATAGCTTGAAAAACCAACAGCCGATGGGGATGAAAGGTTTTCGAGTGGCAGCCTCATACCGGTAGGTGAAATGTTGGGCGGCTCCTCACTAGATGGAGTGACGACCTGGTAAGACATGCAGGAAATCGACGGATGCAGGTGGCTCAGGACTGTGCTTTGGGGCAGAAAATGCTTAGAAAATTATCTATCTATAAATAAAGTGGTTAAAACTGTCCTGAAATTTTTATATATGTCGTGGCCAGATTGTAGATATGATTATATCATAAAGTAATCGATCATTTCGTGAAATGGTGACGTTTCATGAAATTTAAAACTGTTGACCATATCATAATATAGCTTGGCCAAATCAATGAATAGAGATTATTTATTTTGATGAAATTACAACTTAAAACAATGGATTTAACTCGGCTGGGCAGCGTTCGGGAGATTAAGACACATCTTCGGTACCTACCGAAGATATGTCTTAATTTGCAACCTGAATTAAAAACCTGAAAAGAAGATTGTCAACCAGTGCCTGTTACCAATGATGACTTATGTATCTGAGACGTGGTCTTTCACTGCTGGACGTATGGGGAAGCTCAAGGTCGCTCAGCGAGCTATGGATTTGGATTGGCTTGAGGTTTTCCTGCGTGATAGACTTAAAAATGAGGATATCCAAGGAAGAACCAGAGTAACCGAAATAGCCAATCCGATTAGGTAGGCCTCGTATAGGTAATAATGAAGGGTCGTAGTGTAGAGTGGCCCCTATTAGATAGAATGGCGACCTATTAAGAAATGTAGGAAGTCAATTGATGCAGGTAACTCAAACCGTGCATTTTTGGCAATCCTTGGAAGGGGCCTAAGCTCAGCAGTGGACATATGATAAGATGTAATGATCTTAATGTTCTTATCTAAATGTTGAATCTTAATATTGCTATTATTTTCCCATATTTAGTCATAATATGATCTCAACTTATAAAATGCGTTCCAATTTGTTTATTTCACTTCGAAATAACATTATGGTCCATACCGTTTAAATTCTTATCAATATGTAATATCAATATAACTTAGTATTCACGTAATAAAAGTCTTCGTTACTTGCACACACAAAAATTATGACATAAACTGGGAAATTATTTCATCATAGTGTGCCAGGACTGGATTATTGGCACACTTTTTTTTAATTATCATCATTGCGTCATAAGTTGTTATCCCATCATGAAGACATGGCAATTGACCCTTTACCTTAAAAAGATTTATTACAATCACACCTCGTTTTTGTATTGACCGCTGAAGGTAAAGACTTATGGGTGGTCTGTTATAAAAGTTATAATTACTAGTTTTTGAGTTTCGACACATCAAGTGATATTTTTTTTGTAAATTTACATACATTTGGCTGTGAAAAATGTTACAAAAAGGTTTAAATGTCTTCATGCAGAAACGAAGGAATTCTTGAAAATGTAATTAGTGTACGAAAGTGACTCCTTTATACGCTTTTCCAATAAACTACGCATGAAAATAATATTAATACATTTATATTTTTTACAAGAGTCTCTGTCTTCACCACTAACTCTTATCAGTGAAAGAGTATCAACTTCGCTCTCGCTACCACCACTTCATCATATACACTCTACCATTCTCAAATAATATTATAGTATATTTAGCTGTGGATTGTGAAATGCTGGTAAAGAATAACCTACGAAAATAACAGTAGTTAATTATAATAAAGGAATAAAACAGAGCTAAGATTGTTTTGGATAATATGTTATATTCAATCTTTCCATTATGCTTTTATGTAACTTGTAGACATAATCGCACATGAAAAAAATACTAAATAAATTAATATGCTGAATAAATTAATGCAAATAATTTTAACAAATTAAGTTGGGGTTATTGTTCTGTTACGTGATTCAAACATTGCAATCCACAAATAGATAAATGTCCATGTTCCATTCCGATCCATACATTCTATTCCATTTAATTCAATTCAATTACATTTCAGTGCATTCCATTCCACGTTATACATGATGAATAATTTCCAATTTTATTTTGAATTTTCCATATGAAATGGCAATTGTATATATGACGTCCTATTAATTAATTACATTAATAAAATTTCTCCTAGTTGCTTTAATATAATTAATTATTATCGAAGTTATACATACAATACAAATATTAACTGAATTTCTTATGTGGCTTGTTGGTATAATGAAGTAGGAAAAACGTTTTTTCCCACTTTCGGATCTGATATCCGATATGGTTGTGGAAAACGTGAAAAGGAAATCATATTTCTTATGTTTTTTTAAGCTGTGAAACCGATATCGAATCAGATAACGTGAAAACGCTAAAAGGCAAGTGTACATATGTATTTCGTATACAACTCTCAGGTATCTCGGGGTACGATACGATAAAGAAAAATCAAATAAAAATAATGTTACAGTTACAGCCTATTAAAAGTTCACTGCTGAACATTCAATTTTTTTATTAGAACATTATGATATTTGTCATAGTTTCCATGCTTGGTAAGCGGGATGACAACCGCAGTTTTTTATTAACCAGCAACGAAAAAGAGGGGTGTTACGTGTCTAACGTCTCCCAAACGTATGAACCGATTTAGATTCAGTGCTTTCGTTTGAAAGATGACTTGATCGAGTGTGATCTTAGCTATGATTCAAGAAAATCTTTTTAGCCGTTTTGTTTCGGGGTTATTTTAATTTTTTTATTGAAATTGTTTTTAGTTGTTAGGAAGACGCTGCTACCTATCTCCTAGTTTGTTTCTATCTTCTCTATCTATCGATATTTGCCTTCTATCCAATACATCTACAGGATTATATGGGGTAATGGATATTCCTATACCGCTGCCACACGGTTAAAAATAATGTGCAAGACATATAAACACCGTATGTTACCGTGTAATTTATGGCCTCACCATAAATTACTGTACAATTTATGACGCCTATATAAATCACATTCAAGGAAAATATACCTTAAAGTTCTTTACCTTTAACTCGTCTTCAGGATATATGCCGCGTGATCGCAAGTCGGTAAATCGATTACCGTGTGGGTTGGGCGCGCCACCGCCCGCGCGGCCCCACGGCTCATATGTCGCCAGTTCTTCGCGAGCCTAAAAGTAAATATTTACTTAGTAAATTCTTAAAGTTAACAATTTCAGAGTAGTTTCTAAGTTATAAAAAAAGTTTCTAGGTAGGAAAGGCGCCAGGGAATCCATCACCTTATTTTATCCTGTGGGTGTCGTAAGAGAGAAAATTTTACGGCTTCTGGCAAATGACGGCATAGCCATTTCTTTTTTTTATAAAACTGAAGTGACAAACGAACCTTCACTCCACTGGTAAGTGTTGTAAGAGAGACTATGGATACTGGCAGCTTAACATATACAATGACGGCTACAGAAGTCACCACTGACGACCTGTAATTTTAAACTGTCTTTTTTTTTGTGGCTTAGCAATGAGTTGTAGCGCTGGGGGCCGCGGGTTCGAATCCCGCACGGAGCAAGTATTTGTATGGCCTACAAATAATTGTTCCGGGTCTGTATGTTTGTCCTTGTGCAATTTGTGTTTGTAAACTGCCTCCACGATACAGGAGAAAATCCTAGTGTGGGGGTAACGTTTTTAAAAAATTAAAAAATACCCTTCAGATCTAATACAGCGACATAAGCACTGCTGTTTAGCTGTAAAAATGTATAAAAGGGCCTGGACGGACTCTCTGGTAGAAAAAAAGTCCCACCACGTAGAAAACGCCAGACAACAAGGCACCACACTGGCGACACTTAGCAGCGGCAAAGATGCTACACTTCTGGTACTGCAAACGATAACCAGCTTACCAAGCATGTCGACTATAGCAAATCTTCCTTACTACGCAAGATAGCCAATACGCCAACCTACTTACCAAGTATGGCGACTATAGCACATTTTCCTTACTACGCAAGATACGCCAACCTGCTTACCAAGCATGTCGACTATAGCAAATCTTCCTTACTACGCAAGATAGCCAATACGCCAACCTACTTACCAAGTGTGGCAACTATAACACATTTTCCTTACTACGCAAGATACGCCAACCTGCTTACCAAGCATGTCGACTATAGCAAATCTTCCTTACTACGCAAGATAGCCAATACGCCAACCTACTTACCAAGTGTGGCGACTATAGCACATTTTCCTTACTACGCAAGATACGCCAACCTGCTTACCAAGCATGTCGACTATAGCAAATCTTCCTTACTACGCAAGATAGCCAATACGCCAACCTACTTACCAAGTGTGGCGACTATAGCACATTTTCCTTACTACGCAAGATACGCCAACCTGCTTACCAAGCATGTCGACTATAGCAAATCTTCCTTACTACGCAAGATAGCCAATACGCCAACCTACTTACCAAGTGTGACGACTATAGCACATTTTCCTTACTACGCAAGATACGCCAACCTGCTTACCAAGCATGTCGACTATAGCAAATCTTCCTTACTATGCAAGATAGTCAATATTACAGGATAGTCAAAATTTATGGAACACAGGCTGACTAAGAAGAAGAAGATGAAGAAATAAATTTTCAATGACCACCAATAATAATTGGTTCCCCTGGTTGATTGGGATCACGACAACAACTTCTGGCACATATGTTTACAAAGGGGCACTCGTTCGTTCTACCTTTTCAGCGTAGTAGAGTCACGCTGCAGCTGTTTCATGGTTGCAGCATTAATGGGTAGACTCGACCGAGCAAGGATCCGCTCCTACAGAATACCAGAGTGAAATAGCAGGTATGCTAAGTATACAGAACCGGAGACCTTTCTTGGGCGTTACGACATATACGGCATTACTACGATTTTTCTCTATATACAAAAGAGCAGGGTTAAAATTTTACGTATTTTAACTTTCAAATTCACTAATAAATCATTACAACAGAATTTTCGTTTTTATCAAGGCATATGATTTAAGAAAAATCAAATGAGAGCAGCAGAATAGAAAATATATTGAATTGAGTTGAATTGGAGTATGTGATTTTTCTTTCCTTGTCTTTTTGTATAAAGCGCCTCTGGCGACTAAACTAACTTAACTAATAATTAAAAACCCATTAAAAGATACAGAAATCAACTATTTGCATAATAAATAAATACAAATGTGAGAACTTTCTTAAATAACAAAATGATTATGATAACCCCCGCCTGAAGTACTTCAACCATGATAATATTTTTTTTATTAATTACCGCCTGAGCGCAATATAAATATAAATGCATACGCAAATCACTACTACTACTAGGTCCCTCTGGGTAAGAATCTCCACATTCTTACGATTATACGGGCGCCAAGCAGCTGTGCTTACGCTGCTTTGTGCCGATCTGAAGGATATAGAGTACCAGTATATCTATAGTTTATGAGGGTCCTCAGAGGTGACAACGTACATATCTGTAACGTCCTCTATTTTAAATTGATTGCAGGTATCTAATTCCCATGAGCTGCACTTTGGTATAAATAGTTAGGCATAAGTTCGTTTGTCACTTCAGTTCTATAAAAAAATACAGCATTGTTTTAATATAAGACCGAAAAATGTGTTAGATTTAGTGACACAGACCTTGAAATCGGCATAATTTTAAAATCGTTATCTTCTACGCAAAAGGCAGGGAAAAAATATTTAGATTCATAAAATGTTCTCTCTTTCACTCGTCTAGTGTTTAATAAAAATATCCCTATGTCATCACATGACGCAATGTGCAAATCACACTGCAGATAGAATCCTAAATGGTCCTTCCGTATGGCTACGCGTTGTGCGTACAAGTATTTTCGTTAACTAATACTATAAATTTCGTTAGTGTGTCTGTACCTATTTAAAAATATTTTTTGTAGGATAAGGGTGACAAGCGAGCACACAGTCCATCTGATGGTAAGTGGTTGCTGAGGCCGATAGACATCTACATCTATCCTCGTTTACGAATAAAATGCAGATGTGTTATCAGCCTTGAGTACTAAGATAGAATGCCTCTTTTCCAGTAAATAGGGTATCCGATTCCCTATTTCACCAAACGAAACACAGCAGCATTTTACGCTCGTATTCTGTGAGAACGTGGCTTTTCCTCGGTCGAGCCGACCCATTCGTGCTACAACTATACATATATATACTATAACTATTAATATAGATGTAGCATGGCTCTACCACGTATGAATTACCCAAACTTAGACTTCTGCTCTAAATAAAAACAGATGATCTTAGGCTTCCGCTCCGAATAAAAACAGTATCGTTTTGTGTCATGTTATTAACTTCTTATATTCCGGCGAATACCAAATGAATAAGACTAAGTTTTGAAACGTCGGGACTTAAATTTAGGTTAAAAAAGTACACTTTCATTTTTTTATAGGATAGGGTGACAAACGAGCACACAGTCCACCTGATGGTAAGTGGTTGCTGCGGCCCATAGACATCTTTCCTCGATTACAAATCAAAATGCAGATGCGTTGTCACCCGTGAGGACTACGATGGAATGCCTGATTTCCAGTAAAAAGGGTCTCCGGTTCTCTACACTCACCATACGAAACACAGCAGTGTTAAGCTGCCATTTTACGCTGGTTTTCTGTGAGAGCGTGGTCAAGCCGACACATTCGTGCTACAACTATACTACTAACATAGCTGCAGCATGGCTCTACCACGTATTAAATATAGTGATTCCATTCAAATAGGTCCGATGATTGTTTGAAGTGGGTTTATGTATTTTATCTATTGTCCAATTATTTTAATTGCCGTGGGAGCTAAGCATGGGTAATGTAAACTTAAATACAAAACACATAATTTCTCAAAGATAACGAATACTTATCTTCAGTACATGTCACATTACTAGTATTTGCGAGGGGAAACGACGCCTAACGTATAGACGAGCAGGCTTAAAATCAACAAAGCATTATATTACGTATATCACATTGGGTCATAGGTCGAGGTCATCTTACTCTGTCTATTTAGAAATAGACAATGTTGTTGAGTTTTAGTCCGAAATTATAGAATATAAGTTAGCAATAAAAGCACACACAGAACATAAAAACTAATTGCTTGTTTTTGTTATGTGAAAACACCTTATCCATTAGTTACACGTGTGTTATAGAATACATAAATAATTTTCAAAATACACCTTCCGCTGTAGTTCAATCTTCTCTTTTAGCCGCAGTTCGCGACGCTCGCGCGCCAGCTGCTCGCCCTCAATACGCGTTTGCTTGGCCCGCCTTCGCTCTCGTGCTCTCCTCCTTGCCGATCCAGAAGTAGGCACGCTTAGTCGTCTGCCAATTATTAGATAAGCAATTTTTTAATTTTTTTAGAATTATAATTCCGTGTGGTGGCGGCGTTATGGAATTTATCACACCATTTCTTTCGGTGGGTGACGTAGGAGGCGACTATGGAAAATGCTGATGAAAGATCTCAAGGCTTCTGAAGGTATAACTGCCTCGCTTACGTCAGACGTAAAATAATCAGCCTGAAGAAGAAGAATTAATATTACTAAAGTAAAAGCGAAAAATATCTTCAGTGCTTACTATAATATCAATAACGTAACATATTACTATATTATAGCATTATACTTCTACCCAGACTTGACATTCTTGTCGGCGGCAATTTATATTAAATTTCAATTTGTAAATATAAAAAAGTTGTACTTAAAAGATTTGCGTATGTAACTCTAATATTTCTTGCAAAAAACCGGTCTAGGGTATTATAAAGGATACGGTGTTCTTAAAACAACGTTAGCCCCACACTAGGATTTTCTGCTTTATTGTGGAGGCAGTTTACAAACATAGATTGCACGAGGACAAACATCCAGACCCGGAACAATTATTTGTAGGCAATACATCTGCATCAGGCCGGCAACGCATCTGCAATTCCCCTGGTGTTGCGGTTGTTCATGGGCGGCGGTAGTCACTTACCATCAGGTGAGCCGCATGCTCGTTTGCCCCCTCTCCTATAAAAAAAAATACAAATACTTGTTCCGTGCGTTATTCGAACCCGCGGCCCCCAACGCAACAACTCATTGCTAAGCCACTGCGCCACAGCGCCGTCAAAATAGTGCAACTATGAGAAATGCCAAAGCTATTGACTGCCGATAGACGGCGGTATAACCAGCTCGTTTACGTCACACGTAAAATACCCGGATCGACGTCTAGTACTGTGATTTTCAACCTGCCTGTGACTATTAAGTCTAATACTAAATCCTCCCTACATGGCAGAGGCTCAGCAGTAGACTTTTACGGGGTGATGAAGAAGATGAAGACCTGTTTAGAATCGATTCTGTTACTTTTACAGCCTACTAGACTTACGTAGACTTTTCTACCGATGAACATAGGCTTTCCCCATAGATTTCCTCATATGGGGGCTATGTAAATTAGTCTAAAAGTTAGTAACAAATCTAGATAATATTTCTTCTATCCATATGTAATCGTCTATATTAACGATTTTGTCAGATTTTTATTGATCCTTTATCGCTTTTCGTATTTGTATCGTAGTCAAACATTTTCGATCATATTTCCATAAACAGCATTTTGGGGAAAATGTAAAATAAAATTAATCACTCAATAGTTAATATAGTTGAAATGGTGCTTAAAAAGCATTTATTTCAATCTGTTAGCCCACTAAAAACTATATGAAACTACACGTAATATGGAATTCTAATGTTTATCAGATTGGGATTGTAAAACACTTTCTTAATATTTATAAAAAAAGTGAAATTTAATAAGCTTAACGGTATTTTCAAAAGTTGTAATCAAAAAATAGGATAATCAATTAAATTAAAATTTAGTTAAACTACTAAACTTAAATAATACCCAGCTACAAATTAGATAAAAAAAGCTGATTGATTTTCTCAAATTTTTTTGCGAATTATGTGCATGTTACATAATTCGCTGCATTCATAAGATATTCATAGGTTTCGTAATTACACTTTGCAAATATATTGTGTTAAGGATATCAGTTATATAACTACAAGTATGTCCCATCAGAAACATCAAAAGCAAAATGTACTACGCCACACCCCGTACACACAGACTTCACTCATTTTATTTCCACGTGTGGTGATCTAATCTGACGCGAGAAAGCGGAGGATAACGTAACTTGCAAATTAGGCAATCGCGATATAAGAAATCTAGACATGTAATCACTACCACTAATATTACTCTTTCACTCAAACACGCATTTTTAATTCATTATATTGTCGTAAGTCTTAAATGTAACGATAAGGTATAGTACTACCTTATTGCTTTTTTTATGTTATATTTTTAACTTTTATTTATGTGTATCTCGTATGTATATTTTGGTTGCATCAGGAATTAACTATTGTTCAATTACTAAATGTGGCACTGGACCGGCCATAAAGCTCGAAGAACCAGCCACCAATGAAACGGAATAAAGGTTCTCGAGTGGCAGCCTGGGACTGGTTCTCTAAGTGTAGGTCGACCCGCCACTAGATGGAGGGAAATGAAAATAAATTTAATAAAGTAAAATGAAATTAAAAAAACAACCATTTAAACAAAGTTATATGTTAATATATTATATTATTAGTATATATTATTATATTATAAGTACCTTATTTAAAAATTAAAAATATCCTTATTTTAGAAAGTAAAACGATCCATTTCAGATAAATACAAAATTGTATACATTTAAGATAGTAGTATAATACATTAGCATTTATATTGCAATAATATTCTAAATCTAAATTTATTTAAATCAAAATAAATTTAAATTAATATAAGTTTAAAGAATTCGGCCTGAGACAACTCACCTTCGTAACCTGTCTGTGTTCAAGACAAACATTTAGATTTCTATTTCACTTATCTCAACAATCAATGCTCGTATCACATTTTCCAAAAATACTTTTACACTTTAAATCAAAATATTGTTTAATATAAACGGAAAATAAAAAAACACAAAAAAAAATATTTTATCTTTCTTATTTAATATAGTCTGTTTTCGAATTCAAATTAGTTTAAAAGATTTTGAAATATTAACAGACATTTAGTGTTGTAAGTTACGACAAAATGAGCTTTCGCTCGTAACTGCGAACTTCTGAATCTGAAACGACCTACAATAAATCGTGAAGGCATGCACGCTATAGCGTACTTACGAGTATTTTTATTCGAAACATATACTGACAATACGACCAATTATTGTCTTTATTTGTTTTCTTTTCTTTATTTATCCTCGTAATATTTTTTAGTAGGGATTTTAGGGATGAATGAAAAATTTAAAAATATTGAAAGAATTTTCAGTATTACAAACTTAGAACATGGTGATCATTTTATTGGAGTGGACACCGTAGAAGATTCTTTAATTCACTAATGAGCGGTGCCCTTTAATAATGTAGAGAAACTTCAATAGTTTTCTATTTGTCTTATGCAAGAACATCAAGCTGTCGGTGAATTATTTATGTAATTTATATAATGATTTTCGAGTCATGGTTAAACGTGAAACAGCAAAGTTAAAATTGAATTTAATAATTCTTATATTATAACAGTTATGCCTTCTAATGCGCAGATTTTAAAATGGACATTGACATAACGAATAGTATTTTAAAAGTTTCAAGTATTTCCTATATTCCTTGTCGAGAAGCTGTTTTCGTAGATATTGACATAAGTATAGACTTTAGACGAAATATAACTATGGAAAATCAATTAATTTTTAAATGTGTGGAGAAAAACGTGGCAGACTCGCCGGCAAGAGTAGTCTGGTCCGAACCTATTAGAGTTCTGGCTAGAGACGAGGCGAAAATAGCAACGGATGCAGTTGACTAAGCACCATGTCTGTTGGCAACTTGTGTGTAAAATAGACTCATCTTGATGCGTATCGTAAGTGGCGGCAAAAGGAAATGAAACCGGAGATGTGAAAAAAATCCTGTGACAAAATATAAAATGAATGCCTCGTTTATTTTATTTTTGTGTATTAGATATCTATATTTTATAAAAAAAATTATGTTAAGCAAGCTGTATATCACGTTCAACTGTACATTAATATATAAAATACAGATTTCCTATACACAAAATATAAAATAATCGTCGATTTTTTTTTTTATAATTTGTCACAGATTTTTTTAAATTCTCAGAGACTATTGGAAGAAGATGATTGAAATTTGCCACAGATATACTTAAAAGAGAATTGAAATTTATCACAGATACTTAATAGATAATTTAAATTTAGCACAGATATACTTAATATGCTATAGAAACACAAAAGTGAGTTTTTCAAAATTGTATTAATATCACACGTCTAGAAACACGTCTTTTTTATATCGTGCATGTCCTCCGATGGATCGTTATAAAGGGAAAATTGTCTTGGAATCAGAATTGCGTTTTTTTACTCTTTATTAATTTTATTATATATTTCATTATTAAACATAATTTAGTTTTAACAAAATGATATTGCATTTCGGGGTCTTCTATTAATTAACAAAAAATATAATTAAAAAAAATTTTTGGTCCCATTGAAAATTGATTGGCACCATAAAATGTATTTTGCAGCGTGTACGCTGACATCTTTTTACATTCTATTCACGGTAAAAGTGATTAGAACTACATTCATGAACACACCACCCCGTCACACACTATCGTCCCGTGGATTTCGTATAAGGCGACAGAGGGAAACTGAAACAGGAAATGGAGCGTCTTACGCCTGTCTTGTTTGATGACTCATTGTTGCCTTTTTTTCATAGGGAGGGGCCTCATCTAATGGTAAGTGACTACCGCCGCCCCTGAACAGAAACAGAAACTTTTTTATTCAATATAGATTATAAATAATACTTATTGAAAGTCACTCTTTTGTATAATTACCACTGGTTCGAAAAAAAAACCTCTGTCCTGGGAAGAACCAGCAAGAAACCCAGCGGGACTTTTTTTTTAAATAACAGCTTACAATCATGTATGTTACACAAATAAACAACACAACAAATTAGAAATAGCTTGGTAGCGATCACCTCATTTCCCGGGGGTTATTATCATCTATAAATTCTTTAATATTGTAATAACCCTTTTTATACAAACTTAGTTTAGTAAAGTTTTTGAACTTTGAGCAGGTCAAATTTTGTATATTTTCTGGAATTTTGTTGTAAAAGCGTATACATCGCCCCAAAAATGAATTACTGACTCGATGGAGTCGAGTAACTGGTACTACTAGCTTGTGTCTGTTCCTAGTATTTACAGAATGAATATCACTTATTTTTGTAAAACTACTTTTATTTTTGTGTACAACAAAACAACAGTAACAACTGCAACACCAGGGGAATTGCAGATGCGTTGCTAGCTTTTTAAAAAGGAGTAGGCGCTTTTCTTGAAGGTCCCTAAGTCTTATCGGTCAGGAAAAATCGCTGGTGGTAATCGATTCCACGGGGAAGTTCTGCGAGGGAGAAAATTTCTTTTAAATCGCACAGTGGTGGACCGCGATGTGGATGGTCTTATTGAGCGGCTGGAGTTAGTCCGAACAATTCCTCAGAGCACTCCTCGTGATAGATTCGATAGAAAATGCAAAGAGATGCAACAGCCCTACGCAGCGCCAGAGTATCGAGCCGATCAGAAAGAACTCGGTGGATCGAGTTCTTTCCGATGGGCATGACTTAGGAATTGTTGGGATTAATTCCAGCCGCCAAATTTCACGAACGGACATCGCGTCAAAATTCACGACACCATCCTCACCATCTGAATGCTTGGCGGTCCACGACTCTGCGTTTTACTAGGAGTTTTCTTTCTTGTACAACTTCTCTGTTGAATTGTTTACCACCGGCGATTTTTCCGGACCGATACAACTTAGGCACCTTCAAGAAAAGAGCTTACACCTTTCTAAAAGGCCGGCAACGCATCTGCAATTCCCCTGGTGTTGCGGTTGCTCATGGGCGGCGGTAGTCACTTACCATCAGGTGAGCCGCAGGCTCGTTTCCCCCTCTTCTATAAAAAAGATTTTTGAGTATATTTAACTAAACGGTTATTCTGGATACTGGATAGAAGCTCTTTAGTTAGAGTTAGTAGAATATATTGGGTATATATCGGCATAGCAATAATTAAACAACTTCGTTTGGTATCAAGTTATCAGATATACCTAAAGTAATATGAAAATTAAGTACTATGTGAGATTTTTAGTTCTATTTAATGGAATGTCGATTTACTACGTTCTCCATGGTGCAGGAAAACAACGCGAGGAAACCTGCATATCTGTTAAGTTAAAAATATTTCAGAAATATTTTTATATGTGAAGTTTTATTTGTCAGCACCGTACGCGTCGCACGCGCCGTACGTGTCGCATTTTAGAAATCGTTGTACGAGATCATATGAAAACTCGCACATTTCGCCCGCATCGTACACGCCGTGTTTTAGAGAGAAATATTGTTTACAGTGGTTTACAGTACTTTAATTCAGGAGTATTTACTTTTACTGTGTAGGCAAGGTGGCGGTGTTTTAACAGTGATAGAGCCACGCAGCAGCCAGCTGTCGCACGGATGGGCCGGCTCGAACCGGGGTGGTACCCCGACCTCACAGAATACCAGCGTGAAGTAGAAGTTTGTGCATTTCGCCTGGTGAGTGCAGGTGGCCGGAGGCCCCATTCCCCTCCCTCATCGACATGGTAGCCGAATTAAATGGAAGACTACCCCAGGAGGGTACCATCAACCCCGGAGAATCCCTCGCTGAGCATCCACGCCCAAGCTACCTTACTTTTTCTGAGCGTGGGTATTCAGTCTACCCCACGTATTCTGGGGGGGGGGGGGATGTACGTCTGAGAGGACATCTGTTTTCGGCGCCTCGACAGTCTTGAAGGTACGGACCTGTCCATCCTATGGCTGTGCGTAGATAGCGACAACCATCCCCGCGTCTACGGGTGCCTCTATAGGTCTCATAGCGGTAATGCCGACGCAGATCGACTCATCGACCACGTCCAAATGGCTGCAGACTCGAGATCGTGATACTCGGTGATTTTAACCACGCTGAATGGCTTGGTTCTCGTTTAACCGATCATGCGGGTAGATCTGTCTATGACTTTGCTTTGGCATATGGTCTAACACAACTGGTTACTTCGCCTACGCGGATCCCAGAAGTGGAAGACCATGTACCTCTCCTCTCATCCGGATGGATATCAGGTCTCCGTCGATGCCCCTCTGGGCTCTTCGGACCATTATCTGATCCGGAGTACGGTGCCACTCACGTTTCGCCATCGCAGTTGCGATCTGCAGCTTGCCGCCGTGTTTGGCACTATAGGTCGGCCGATTGGGACGGGATGCGGCCTTTTTTTGCATCCTACCCTTGGGGGCGGGTTTGCTTCTCGCCGGATTATTCCAACGTTGTTGCTGATTCTGTCACTGATGTGGTCCTTCTGGGAATGGAATTATTTATTCCATCATCTGTGGTGCCTATCGAAGGCAGAACTCAGCCATGGTTTGGTCACTCCTGTAAAATTGCATCACGCTATAAGCAGGAGTGCTACCGGGCCTGGGCTAACGCATCAACGTCCCGAGATTTAATCACCAGCACTAATAAACAGAAATATAATTCCACCTCCAGGTCCTTCAAAAGTGTCATTGCAAAGGCAAAGTCAGAACACATCGTCAGAATTGGCGAGAAACTAGTTCGCCTCCCTTCGGGAACACGTTCATTCTGGTCTCTCGCCAAGGCTGTCCAAGGAAACTTCTGTCAGCCATCTCTGCCATTTCTGCACAGGGTGGATGACTCACTGGCCCATAACGCAAAGGAGAAAGCCGATCTGCTAGGCCCTCTTTTTGCTTCCAACTCGACTCTAGATGACGGGGGAACACACCGCCGACCATCCCGCAGTGTGAGTGC